TTAAGGCTATACCTCAAACAGGCACAGCAGCCCTTCTGGCACATTATGTTGACCAAGACATCAGATTAGGCCCAGATCCAACGAAGTAGAAAAATAAACTCACCATTTGGTGGGAAATAGCAAGTTCTCATTGCAGAAAATGATGTATGATAAGAACTGTTTTTAATGGCCATCTTTAGAGAATACAATCTGTCAAAGATGTTAGGTTGAGACCTGAAGGATAATTGGAAATTAGGTACATAGAAGGGTGGTGGGAGGAGGATGGCCCCTCCAACAGTGGGCACAGCGTGTGGGAAGGCTTTGGGTTAAAAAAGGCAAACTTATTAGCTTAATATTATTTTCTTTAATATCCACATAGTGCTACAAGGTTGATATTATTTTCCTAGTTTTATAGATGAGACAAGTGAAACTCTTTGCTAAAACCTCATTCATTTATTTATTCCACAATACATATATTGCCTGTCTATAAATAGTTTGCAATCTAGGCAAGATTTACAGATAATAATTATAATATTGAATGATTAAACCAATAATTGAAATGTTTACAATATAGATATAGCTCAGAGGAGGTCTTGGGGTAGAGTGGGTGGGTCAGGAAAGTTCTACTCCAACTTTCATAGCTGGTAAAAGACAGAATTGGGATTTGAACCAGATCTGACTCTAGAGCTCAGACCCTGCTCACTGAAGTACTCTCCCCTTTTCTATCTGGAAAGTCATCTTTTATAAGAAACTTGAAAATCTTGTGCTAAACAAAAAGTGATTTACTCTTCCTAGTTTCTTCATAGCCACTGGGGCAAATACCATCTTTTTCTGGGCTCAACTCAAGGGTCATCTTCCTTTTGAAAACTTTTTTGGCATCTTTCTCACCACAATTGACTCTTTGACGTCTTCTGTGTATTTCTTTTACTTCACCATTTCTTTAATTTTAGCCAGTCTGTGTTCAAGAACAAATTTCTACTGGCATTCTTTTTGGTCTTTTCTTTCTTTCCTGTCTTTTTAACAAAGAACAAATTTGCTTTCTTCATATATTTTGCCTTTGATGTAATCCTGCAATATGATAGGCACCTATAACAATTTTTGAACTTCTTTCTTACCTGACTTACCATGATAGACTGTGAGCCTCTTTATAGAAGGAGCTGCCTTGTTTGTCTTTGTATCTCTCCTGTCGAGTGCATGAATAATTCCTTTTATAAAAATCAACACAAGGGTAGTTCCTATGAGCTGGAGGTTAAATATATCCCAACTGTTCAACTTCTCTAACATGTTATGCCCCTCCATAGCCCTTGATATCAATCACCACTCCTCCCTCCCCTCAAGTCCCAGGGTTCTGCAACATGATGCAAGGTCTAACAAAACCTCACAGTTCTCCAAAGAAATGGCTCACACAGTTTTGAAGACTGGCAAGTCAGAGATCAGTCTGGATGAATTTTCTCACCTCCATAGTCTCAGGAACTTAGGAACCCAAATCATGACATCAGGTGATAGGCTGTTGGTGCATGAGGGTGCTGGAGCTGTGAATCAGGTTAAGTGATGGGTCTAAAGTCCCAAGAACTGGAGATCAGATGTAATGAGCCAGATGCAAGATCCAGGGCAAGCTTCTCCAAAGCAGTCTTACCAACTGGAGTCAGACCATGGCCCCAAGGGAAACAAAGGGCGGTGAGTTGAGTCACACCTTCTACTAAGGTGGTGGTATTATTAAATGCAGATGACCCTGTATAGGAGGCATGGCTGGTGAGTTTGAATGACCAACCTTGTAGTTCAGATGACCTTGAGGTCTAGTGCTTATCCTACAATGCCATACCGGGATTCTCTACTAAATCGGGTGATTCTTTTATTTATTTTTTATCATTAAAATTTATATCCTTTAAATTACATAATTTTATAGGCTCAATAAGGAGTCAGCTTACAATAATCAATATGTTAATATGTATAATACTCAATATACCAGTTTATTCAATATAGTGTAACTACAGTCAGCCTATAATATACTCTTACTTCCTCTCTCCTCTTATCATAACTAAGGAAATTAGGAGCTAAGAGTAGGAAATAAGATCTGTCTCCCTTCTACATTGTGAGGTTGATTTCTATTTTCCTTGTTAATCAGCATTGATTTAGGCATTGACTGTAGTTAACTACAAAACTAACTTCAAGAATTCTTTCTAATCAATAATTTTCTCTTTCTTTAACATAATGATATCCAAAAATTTCCCTAATGTTGCAGTTGTTAGGGCCTATTGAGTTGATTCCAACTCATAACAATTCTGTGTGTAACAGACAAAGTACTGCCAGGTCCTGTGCCATGCTCACTGCTGTCATTATGTTTGAGCCCATTGCTGTGGCCACTGTGTCAATCCAGTTCATTGAGGACCTTCCTCTTTTTTGTTGATCCTGTACATTACAAACCGTCATAGCTGATATCCTTTTCCAGGGATTAGTCCCCACTGATAACATGCCCAAAGTATGAGTGACAAAGTTGTGCCATACTTGCTTCCAAGGAGCAATCCAGCTAAACGTCTTCCAAAACAGATTTGTTCATTCTTTGGCTGTCATGGTGGTATTTTCAATATTCTTTTTTTTTTTTTTTACAAATGTTTGCTTTTTTTTTATTTAAAAGTTCTCAGTCACAGTAGGACATAAGAAGTGGTCTAATCAAAGTTATTACCACCATCATCACAAACGATAAAGTATTATTACCAAGACATTGACTTATATTAAAATGTAAGAATTAGCATATGAAATATCTTCAATGCATCCATGAACAATTGTCTACTATAAAATGCTGGGTTCTCCTTATGAGGTTTTATTTTTAATGTTTTATTGTGAATTATGTGATAGTTTACCTGGGAGAACATTAGCTTTACATTCATCCTATCATATATGGTTTCATTGCCATGGTTACAATCCCCTTCATGCATCATCAACCAACCAAAGGGTATACCCTGCAAGTCTGCCCCCCAGTCGTCAGCACACAGCCGTTCTCCCTCTTTGTGATGCCAGAGATGGAGGCAGAGACAATGACATGGAGAGATGGAGCGGCTGGGGACTTTAGACCCAGAGATGGAGAATGTAAACTGATAGGCCATGGACTATTATCAGAACACCTACTGTGTGCTAGGCACTATTCTATGTGCTCCATGAACAACACAGGAAAGGATCCCTGCTTTCATGGATCTTACATTTGAACTTGAGGAAATCGATAAATAAGTACATTTATGGTTTGTCCTTTACTCTGAGTGAAATGATCATTGCTGGGTTTTCAGCAGATGAATACTAGTATCTGCTTAAAAAGTCTGCATAGAATTTAATAGTTAATAAGATCTATGGGGGCAAAAAGGTAGCACAGAATAAGGAGGACTGGAAATATGAGGGTGTGGCTGCATTATTATATTGTTAAATTAGATGCTCAGGGCAAACCTCCTCATGGATATGCCTGCAAAGTGGTGAGTTTCCCCCCCTTTATTTAAAAAAAAGTTTATGCCAGTTTTTAAAAGCAAAGAAAAGTATCACAGCGCCACATCAGGACTCCACTGCCCAATCGAATTTTCTATGATAAGGGAAACATTTTTCATCTGTCAATAGCCACATGGAGCTCATGAGCACTTGGAATGTAGCTGGAGCAACTGAAGAGCTTATGGTTTAATTTCCTTTGTTTTTAATAAGTTTTTATTTAAATAGCCACAAGTGGCTAGTGTTTGGCATATTGGACAGTGCATACCAAGAGCATCCCTGTCAAGGTTTGTTCTAATTCAATTGGAGATCTCTATTAGTGCTCCTGGGATTCTTTCTACCTAGGGTGAGCTATAAGGCACAGGACTTGAGGTCTGGAGAGAGAAAAAGGTGAACTAGAGTTTAACACTGGAGCCCTGGTGTGGCGCTGTAGGATAAGCACTGGACTGAAAGGTTGGTGGTTCAAACCCTCTAACCGCTCCTTGGAAACCCTATACAGGGTTGCTATGAGTTGGAACTGACTCCACAGGCACTTAACAAGAGCCTGACACTAGGCTCTTCAACAGCCTAAGACTAGACTTGTACTCATAGGCCAATTCTAGAAATCTCAGGGAGTCTTCTTCCAAGAAGCATCGAGGAATTCTGAAGTCCAGAGTTATTAAACAACTAGCCAGTTGTTGATTCTTACTCACGTGCCAGAGTAGAACTGTGCTCTTCAGGGTTTTCAATGACTGGGTTTTTGTAAGTAGACCTTCAGGCCTTACTTCTGAGGTGCCTTGGGAGGGACTCACACATCAATCTCTGCATACCAACAGAATATTTTAACTGTTTAAACCACCTGAGGGTTCTACAAGAATCATCATAAGGAATCACATATTATAAACCAAAGTACAGGTGCAATGACATTCGGGCTTAATAAAGGGGGCAGATTCTTTCTCTGTCTCCCCATTGGTTGCACCTTTAGGCCCAGCAAATCATCAGTGCTTTTAGGGTTTGTATGCTTTCAAGAGAAACTCACACATATATGATTTTCAAACTGATGATTAGATGGATCTGGTCCCAGAATTCCCAGTGCCTTTTGATTACTATTTTAGGTTAGCATATCACAGAGATTTGTCAAGGCAGCCTTTTCACAGCTGCTCTCAAAGGTGTCTCTGTGTGGGTAAAGCTATTGACCTTAATTCCTCTTATCAAGTGCTCCACCCTGTTCTGTGTAAGTTCTAAAACAAAGCAGGTAGGGGTGTGTTTCCTACCTTTGTGTATGACTGCCATGGAGGAGGGGGAAAGATGAGGAAGTAATTGCGTGGATTTGTGTCCTGTAAAACACAACTGACTATGTGCCTATGTCATTCTGTTTATTTTCCTCTAGGAAATCAGGATTGTGGCACTTTCAGTTATCTTCATAGAGATCTCACTGAAGAATAATCTCAAAGGAACATCTTTCTCTCCATCTCTGTTTAATGTCCATAGTTAACTGGACCAGGAAAGCATTGCCCCACTGTTGAGTGTGGCCTGCTGCAGGCAGGCATGTGAAGCCCTCTCTTTCTAGAACGCTGTAGCTGGAGCATCTTCCTATGTTGTGTAAATGTTGATGAAGCCCTTTTCTGAACCAGCTTAGGAGGCTTAGGCCTCGTAGAGCCTATGACATGGAAGCTTTGGAAGTGGATGACATCAGCCCAGCCTTGGAAGTTACTGAGGATTTCTTTAGTTCTTTCGATAATAAATTAGAAAAGGCTGTACAGCAAGCAGAAGTTTTTGGGATCCAGGAAGTCCCTGAACTGGTGGGACACGAAGTATTCAGTCACATACCAGATAATGGTGCTATCAGAAATGTTGCCTCCCTGAACAAAGGGGGTATGATTTGGGACCATTGTAACAGCAGGCTCTTAGAAACCAAAGCTCAACATGTCTTCCCTGCCAAAGAACAGTTTATGGTCCAGAGAGGGACAACTCCAGATAACCTGTCCTGGATGGAACAAAAGGAAGCATCAACCTTTAATTTTTTCAACATTTGCCAGCGCCGGAGAGACAGACCTCGTTCTGTGAATGACTTATTGGATGAGACCTCTACTTTCAAGCCAGGGCACACCCGATCAAGGTCAGATATTACTCAAGTGGACTGGAGGCTAGTCCTCAAAACCATGCCTTTGCAGCAGCAGCAGCAGCAACCACCACCACCATCTCTTCAGGGCCCTCACTTCACCAGGCCGTCTTTTCTGTCACCTTCACCAAATAAGGTAGAAGATGCTCAAGGAAATACTGGTATGTTTTTCTGTCTGGCTGCTGTTAAATAACTGTTGATTTTCCTTTATCTTTTATACCTACCTCTTGAGAATCTAAATACCCATGTCTGTCTCTGCTTACTTTAAAAGTTCCCTCTTCATTTTACTTTTATACTTTGCCTAAGGCTATAGTCTTACTGTCTTCTTCAAAGGTGGTGGTGGTTGTTAAGTGCCATTGAGTCGGTTCTGACTCTTAGTGACCCTATGTTGGGTTTCTGAGGTGATAAAACCAGTTGCCACTAACTCATGGCCTTGCCATATGTGTCAGAGTAGAACTGTGTTCCCTACAGTTTGCAGTGACTGACTTTTAAGAAGTGGATTGCCAGGCCTTTCTGCTGAGGTGCCTCTGGGTGCACTCGAACCTTCAACCTTTCAGTTAGCAGGAAAATAAACTCTGAGTGAAAGAAACAAGAATGGTTAGTTTTCTTTCTCATGTTGTATGTTAGAATCAGAGTATGCTCGTACTTAATCTATTGTTTTCCTTTGAACATTGTATGACACTGCTTGTTCACATCAGTAAGCACTTTCTGGATAATGAATTGGGCTTAGAATTGGGCTATGAGGGATTCAAAAAAGTGGGAACACATGATCCATGTCTTAATCCTTTCAAGACCTAATTTTTGAAGTAATATGTCTTTTGATACAATTGGTGGGTTCATATGTCCTGAGGGGTCTCTGGTGTTAGGGTTGGTGAGATGAGGTCATTTCTTCAGACTCACATATTTATTCACTAGATAGCAGCATATGGGATGGCAGGTTCCCACACAACCTCAGAAGTGGAAAATGTAGGTAAGTACTATGTTCGATGGGTACTGAAAGGGTCAAAGAGCTTCTCATGTATTTGAGATCAAATTTAGACAGAGACTCAAGAAGGTCTCCAGGAATAAGCGCCATTAGGTGGTCAATAGAATGTTTGTAAAGGAACTTGTGTTTTCCTTTATATTGTTGAGACTTTTAAAAATGAAAGACTATTAATGGGTGAGGGAAGGAGAAGACACTGGGGGCTGGATTTGTCAGGAAGAGCTTGCTAGAAGAAGTGTAACTGGAGCTGGACCTTGAAGACCACTAAGATGCAGAAAGAGAGATAACAGTAGAGGATACTTCAACCAGGATCATGGTGTGAACAGAGATGAGAGCTGCAGAGGAGGAGAACAAGCTGCCTCTGCTGAGTGGGAAGGAGAGGTTGCTTAGGACTCTGTGCTGGAAGGCCTTGAATTCGCTTTTCCTCATTTATAAACATGTATTTACACCAAAAGTACATGAGGTTTTTTTCCTTCAGCCCTGAGACATAACAATTCATTGCTCCCAGAATTTTTCCTCACAATAACCTCACTTGTGTAGGTTTTCCTGCTAGCTGAAAGAGCTTCTCTATGAAATGTTTCACTAGCCAAATGGCTCAAGTGGAAGAAGCAATTATTAGTTTATATGGGAATTTTTGAGTGTCCCTTGTTGTTGTTAAGTGCCATCGAGTCAGTTCCGACCCATAGCGACCCTGAACAGGGTTTCCGAGGCTGTAAATCTTTACGAGAGCAGAACGCCTCATCTTTCTCCCGCGGAACAGCTGGTAGTTTCAAACTGCTGACCTTGCAGTTCGCAGCCTAATTCATAACCACTAAGCTACCAGAGCTCCTTTTGAGTGTCCCTAGGCCCCCCCAAAATAGCCTAAACATCATACCACACAACACTAACAGACACAATTCAGAGCTATGATGGCTTGGTGCTGAGATGCTGTGTGTAGTTCCTGGTAGGCTACGTGGAATGCCTACCAGGAAAGTCCTCCTTGGAATGCACACTGAGTCTTTAACGGCTTGCTGCAAAACAAATGCTGTGTGGTAATTTGGCTTTGTGCCTTTTTCCATAAAAGCAAAAATCCTCTTCAGATTTATTTCCATTAGGGGAAACAGGTGCTAACATAGGGCTTTCATAAAAGTGAAGTGGCAGAAAACGGGCTTTCAAAAAGTTGGCAAACCTGTGCAGGCTAACAACTCTTATTACTATGATATCTTCTGTCACCATGCTCAATTCATAATTTAGATTACTTCTCGTCAGTTAACTAAGGAGACATTTAATAGCATTTACTGCTACACCCTCGGAAAGCCTGTACAGGGTCGCTATGGGTCAGAACCGACTTGATGGCACTTAACAACAACAACAACAACAACAACTGCTATTTTAGTGCTACATCAGTCCCTGTCGATTGGTAATCTCTTGGTACGTTGATCATTTTTATCAATAAAATTTAGTGTGTAATTATAACCTGAGGCAAGGCTGAATATGATAATACAGTGTTCTTGCTTATAAGGTGCCTCATTCTTTTCCCATTCACTTGAAATGTTTTGGTTAAATGAATTTTATTATCTCTCCCATTCTTTAAGAACATTTTTTCTTTATCAGATTTATGACTTATAATTCCTTTTCTTTTCTCATAGACTTGTACCAGCGTATAGCATCAAACCCAGGGTGGTAGCCATGGGAGTAAAAAGAAAGGGACAAGAGAAAGCAAAGGCTTGATAACCAATCACATGTGAAAGACAGACAAATTGCTGTGACGGTGCCTGGCAGAATGATGGCTTTGCCCCAAGCTCACGTACAAACACGTGCACTCTTTGACTCACAAGTAATTTCAGTAGTTTTCTGGTTTCTTAGAGTTCTCCCAGATCCCTATGGTTAAAATGCCTTTACCATTCTAACCCAAGTTAACAGTGTCATTATTCCCCTCCTGTCTTGTGCTGATTGTAAAAATGCAAGGACCTTCCTTAAATTCTCTAAAGTGCTGGACTTCTCTAGTACACAACAGATCCTGGTTATGATTTTTTTAATACTCAATATAAAAAGGAATGTTCATGTAAGTACTGAATGGGTTTTTGAAAAGTACAATGTAACATATGGCCTCTGTATTGATGTAATACAAGGAGGCGTCCAAAAGTTTATGGAAAAATTCC